ATAATTAGGTGATCGGTATCAGTGATCGGTATCGGTGATCAGTATCGGTGATCGGCCCTCATGGGTGATCGGTATCGGCAGGAAAAAACCTGATCGGCACATCTCTGGAAATAACCCATCCATTTTCTAACACCCTTGTCCCTAGTGGTGTTGGGAATGAATAGAAATTAGTTGCAAAGTTATTTTAAGGATGATTGAATTATCCAATGAATGGTGTCACAAAAAGCAGTCACGCTAATTGGTAACAACTGATGGGAGAAGTGATAAAGGAAGCAACATTGAGCAGAACAAAACAGGTCTTCCAAATCACTCTTACTTCCAAGTTAGAAAATAATTTGAGCTGAAATTTCAGGTCTGTATAAGCAATCACTTTTGTCACTTATTTTAACCCTTTTCGAAATAAATCACCTTTTCTTAGTCATTTTTTACTCTATTCAGAACTTCTCGCCTCATTGTCTCTTCAGATTAAAGTAATATAGCTCATCTGTTTGAACCACATTTGTTGCTTCAATGGCGCAAGATCACCTAGGGCACCAAGTAAACGTGGATCAAATGTCAATATCTGCCTCTGCTCACCTGCTCTGGTGTGTCCATTGCTGGCCAATCGGATGAGAGCTTTCTTCTTGAGGATGACACTTCCACCAATCAGGAAGGACGAAAGCAGCGCAAGAGTTAATCCCAGCCACATGTTGTATGAACTGTAAGTTTGCATACCTGGAGACAACAGTTAAGACCGTGTGTTTAACAGGGTGTGTATTTTTTATGAAAATAAAAACACCTGCAGGGGAAGGTTTTCAGAAGGAGTGTCCATGGTAAGAGCAACAAGCTCAGAGGAATTTAGCCAAAAATAGCTGTTTTGTGGAATTGATTTGTTGTCATCACAAGTTTGTGGAAGGAATGTCACTATCATTATGGTCTTTTAATGATTTGCTGATGCAATGATTCCAAGAACAAGAAATCCATGCACAAGTTTGATTTATTGTGCATTTTTTCCACTATATACACCAACCAGGTGATTGGGAATGCTGAAATACATTCCCAATCAACCATTGATCACACACTTCTTGAGGCCATTATCATGCTTTTAATATAATTAGATATTATAAGAGATCCACTCTTCATGACAGAATTAGTCAAACCTTTTTAACTTGGCCTTGGCATGAACCTGGTTTTCAACAAAGGCTTTTAGGACGTTTTGTGTTAGTCTGATGTAGTCCAAGACCAGTTTTATTCTAAAATCATTTGAATGTCCAAACACCCACTTGTGTCCAGGTTTTATAATGTATTATGCACCAGTACTACTGGCCGTAAAGGATCCACAAAGCATGATGAGATCATTATTTGGATAGTGGCTCTAAGGTAAAAAGATTTACCTACTGCAACCTTGATGAACATTACGTTTCAAGATTTGCCAAGAAAAAAGTACTAACAACATTCTGCTACTGTGATTGTGAAGTACTTTCCAGAATTAGCAGTGACTCGTTTATTTAAATTAATCTGAACTTCTAGTTCCTTTCTGCCACAACAAACATGATTTTAAAAAAGTTTATCTAAACGACCTGTTTTGCTTCATTGGCTTTCAGGAGGAAGTTTTGAATAACGGTTCAAATTTTTATTTAATTTGAATCCATTAAGTCCTGTTGTTGCGTCAGAGAAGTTTAGTTTCACACTGAACTTCCCTGTGGTTGTTTAGTTACTTAAATGTGGCAAACCTAATTTTCTTTTTGTAAAGCTATAAATTCAATAACTGTAGAATCAATGCACAAATTCATCACTAAAAGCAGAAGCTGAGAACATTGATTGTAAAGGAGTAAAGATCGTTGTACTATAATCTCCCCACTGCCTTGTCCAGTGTAAAAATTTAATGTCATTGATAAGAAAAAATTACTAATGGGAGATTTTAATTTATTCAAACTGCTAAATATCACTTCATAAATTGGAGGAAATTAAGTTCCAGGAACTCATTTCCCAGTGAGGGAACAGAAAAACCACAGATGAGTTATCTTATAAATCATTCATGTTTTGTGATGGAAAGTCTTTGTCGCCTTAACAGATGGAATAAGAAAGGCAGGAAGAAGCAACAACAAGAAAAAGTATTTAAAAATGTATACAATTCATGTATAACTTCATAATGCAACTTTATTTATGATTCACCTGCAATAACCAATTAACTTTTTGATAAGCTGTCAGCTGGACCAAAATGCTGTATCAAAAGTTCCGATAAATCATTTAAAAATGTAAAAAAAAAACGAAATTAAATAAAATAAGACAAAAGATAGAGTGAAATCTCTCCCCAATTTCAGCCTTCCTTCATTGGCTCCCTACTCTAAAGCCCTTAATAATCAAACTCTATTATAAATCAGAGATCTGATTGGTCCATGTTCCCAACAGAGCCCTTCACTCTCAGACTGCTGGCCAGTCTGGCCAGTCTCATTACCGAGGCCTCAACATGCAGCTGAACAACAACTGATGTCAGCTCTGGGAAACTCAGTTCCAGGAACTGAACTAGAGGAACCAGAGGCAAATAAACTTCAGCTCGCTGCCTTCCTCATGCCGCTTCATGCTGTGCTGTGAGAAAATACTGTAGCTGAAATTTATCCACCAAATAATCTACATTGAATAAGACTGTGCAGGATTTCTGAGCAGTGAAAAGCAAAGAAAGTTTAGAAACATTTCAAAAAGTGAAAAGCATATAAAGATTTATTACTTAGAAAGTGATGCATTTTAAGAGGTCATTTCTGCTAATTTGGGTGATTTGAACTTACAGCTATGGGGAAAAAATGTACTTTCTCAGAAGAAAATACAGAAATGTCCTCCTAAAAATATGCTCATGGACCATACAAAATTTGCATTTAATACTGGGCTGCAGGAGTTAATTACTGCACCAAAGTGACTTAAACCAGCATGGGAACTTTTGGAAATGTAGGCAGATGGTCATCCAAGCAGAAAAACTTAAATCAGCATCTCTGGAGATCATCAACGAAGGGAAGCATGAAGTGTTCCAAAAGTAACCACAAGAATCACAACTTTTCAAGAATTCTTGAAACCTGGATGTGTTTCAAGAATATGATTAACCATGGTTCTTAATGCATCTCACCTTTTCTTACCACAATTTTTCCATGTTAATGCCTAGATACAGCACTCTGAACAAGCAGCTTGTTTAGCAAACATATCATTTAATGTAGTTATTTTCCCATGTGAGGAAAATGTACTCAACAAATATCTACTTGACAACTGTCACGTCAGGAGTCTTCACCGTGAGTCTGTGGACCATAACATCCATTCATGTTTTTGTGTGCACACCAAGTGACATTCAGGTTTTCAGAAAAAATTACTATTTTTTATCATCTTTAAACTATAATCACCAAGCCCAGCAAAAATAAGTATTTTTGGAGTTGAATTATTGGAGCAAAGCAAAAGGTCTTCAATTATATAATTTATGGACATATCCATCTTGATTTCTACAAAGCAGAATGAATGTCACAACTCTTAAGACAAAATTATTTCTGGAAGAATGGAGTTAAATATTTCTTTTGTGTCTAAGCTGCTAACCTCCCTCAAAGTAATTTTCAAAGCAACTCACATTTTACAGATTAGTATTGCCTACAAGTTACACATTCAGGTGTTCTGCATTGTATTTGTCCACTGTTCCAAACCTGATTTGACTTGAGTTTTTCTAACAAACTTCAACTTTCCTTTAAGTATTAGCTCCTGTCTTCAGGTTAATTCCACTGAATCACCTAAGGGAATCCTGGGTATATTGGGCCTGCGTCGCAAAACTCTGAAAATCCTATTAATTTAGTTGAAAGATATTTCTGACAAGGCAGTGCTTTCATTTGAAGTGCAGTTGAGCTGCACTACAAACAAAGCTCAGCTTTCACAGTGCCAACCTAATAATGCAGTACTCAGGTGACACAAGGATGCATCAAATTTCCAGGACAAAATTGACAAGGGAACAGAGGCAAACATGACATCAGAGCAAAAATAAGGCAAGTTTACACAAGAAGAGAAGCTGTGATGTCTCAGCTGACAGAAGCATGTCGGTGATGGACTACCTGTTTGTCGACTGTTGTTCAGGTGTGCGAGGATCAGAGTTTGATCTGTGGTGACCAAACACACAGCTGTCTGGGATCCACACCACAGTGTCAGTACAGACCCTGCAAAGACATGAAGCATTCACTGAAAATCTGAAGCTCTGTAGGAAATTTCTGATTTCACTAGAATTCAAGGTGATCTTTTATTATGAATGCATCATATCTTTATTAATACAGAGTTAAACAATAATAGTGGCCATGACCAGAAAAACAATGCACACATTTTCTGTAAATCATTTGTGTCATTGTCCAGTAGAGAGGAAAAAAATTTTTTTAAATCACTGACTGTATAAACCAGTGGTCCCCAAACTACGCCCCGCCTCCACATTTGGTCCGGCCCCCTGACCAATACCAGAGAGCATTTAGATTTTTTTTTCATATACCGTATTTTCCGGACTATAAGCCGCTACTTTTATCCTAAGCTTTGAACCTTGTGGCTTATAGCCCAGTGCAGCTTATATGTGAATTTTTCTTCAACCACCAGGGGGCTCTTTAGCAGGAAGTGAATCATTGGAAGTCAAAATTAGAAATAAAAGAAGAAAGCACCCATTAAAATGGAATTAGGTTTTAATAGGAAATTGAAATTTGAGAATGTTGTTGAGCCATTAAATAGTATTGAGGGGAAAAAGAAGATTTTCGTTTTTTTAAATAATACTGGGATCATTATGAGAATTTGAGGTATAGATATTAGGATCCAGTAGATGGCAGTAGTGCAACAATAATATATGCAAGCTGCTGTTGAAATCTAAAGAAGAAGAAGAAGAAGAAAGCGCCCATTTTCATTTAGCACATGCTAGTAGCAGACATGAAGGATCAGGACTTTTACTGTTACAGTTACCGTTCGGAAACTACCGTAATCAGTTCAGTTAAATCTAAACTTGGCAACTTTTTCTTTTTCAACCGTAATAAATGTGATATTTGATTGACCTGTTATGACTCAAATGTTGGGTGTCCGCTGTAAATGACTTTATTAGTATTTAGTTGTTTCCTCATTTAACTAAGAGTTATTATACCTTTTGACCAATGCTTTTAATTTGAAAGGGTTTTTAAAGGGACAAGGTTGCTAAGTTATCTACACAAACTTCTGACTAACTGACAATTAACTGTTTGGACATCGTGCAGTGAAAGAGAGATAACTAAGGAACAGTCCAACTAAGGTCTAAACAATTAATTAGTTAGCGCTTGGTTGATGAGGGAACAAGGTGAGTGTTTTGATGAAAGTATTGTATATATTGAGTGTAATGTTTATGTTTCAACATGAAATAGTGTTAATATTTGATTAACTGTCGAACAGTTGGAATATGTTTTAGTTCATTTGTAATACAGAAATATTATAGTTAATTAAATGCATGTATTGTAAATTTAATGTTATTACATAAAGTAAGGTTTATGGGTTAAGGTAAAAGGTTAGAACCACTAAGAGTTACTAATGATATTTTATTCATATGTTTGTAGCTCTTACAGTGTGTTCATGTACAAAGGCTGTTGAATAAAGAAACGTGAACCATCAGTTAGAGAGACCATCTTTTCAACCGGGACGCTACATCTGCTGCTGCTGCATCGTTGTGGAAAACCAATAAGCTACTATCTGCGGCTTATTGTGTATCTTTACTGGTTTTTTTAAAAAAACTTTGGGGGTGCGGCTTATAGTCCGGAAAATATGGTATTTATTTCATAAATAGTGTTATTTCCTGGATTTTTTCTGTGAAGAACCCAGAGAGAGTTATTTGATCGTGCTTTTTGGAAAACAATAAATTTTTACATTTAGGCACTCCTGCAATCATCACACTTTTTCTGTTACAAACTGACTCCGGCCCCCACCAGAGAAGGGAAAAGTTATGTGGCCCTCACAGTAAAACGTTTGGGGACCCCTGGTTGTGCAAAAGTTGACCAAAAATTTACAAAAAGCATCTCTTAACTGTCCGTCCTCAGACATCTGACTCCAATTTATTACTTATATCCAAGAAGAAGAGAAAAAAAATGCAAAAATCATAAATACAACCATCCTAAGATTTTTCTAATATCATGCTTCCCTAAAACTGAGCTGAGTTATGAACTCATATCCTGTTCTGCATGCACTGTTTGCACAAATACTGGTCTTGCAGGGGGATGCAAAGAGACTTTTCCTCAGAGAACTGTGCATGTAAGCAAAGCTAAATTAACACAGGAGACATTGTCTTCAAATTACTTTGGTAAAAAAAAAAAGAAAAGTCAAATGTGCCTAGAAAGCAACTGAAAATTAAGATGGATTCAATTTGAGTGTTTCCTCCTGATGTGAAATTTAAGGCATAACAAATCTGACAGAGACGAGCTGTATTTCTATTTAACCAGGGGCACACTAAAGTATTTACAATTCAGCTGCTATCAAATATAGTGAAATCAAATTCAAAGAACAGGACAGAAATAACAAAGCCATATATTTTACTTCGAAGACTGGTGCTCAGCAGGTCTTATCTTTAAGTCTAAAGTTTGAAGAGTTGACCAAGTGGTCCCAAGTGCAAAATTTCGTATTGCTCCATGAGCAAACAGTGAAACTTGCAGGGACTAGACTAATTATTAACCTTGAAAATTATTTCTTTCTTAGTGGATCAGTGACACTTAATGTTATTTAAATTCTATTTTAGGAATTTGATTTTCATGTATGATCAGGCTACTTGAGCTAGGATGCTAGCTTAAGTTGCCAGTCTACAGTCGAATGTTCAACAGAAATGCCCCAGATGTTTGGTAATGGTTTGCATTAGGCACAATTGATATTTGGACCTTCTATTGTAAGAACAGGGGAGAAGGGATATTTGAGGACTTAGGGAGGCGCTCTTCCACAAGATGCCGCCCTGGGGGGTTGTCACACATATCAGAAACTGCCACTGACTGGAACTGTTAATCATTAAAGAAACCCACTGGATACAATTACATGATGTAAAATGATTAAATTATTAAAAGGAAAAAACATTTCAAAATGGTTAAAATCTATTGAAATTTGAAGTTCAGTCAATGATGTTTCATATTGTTTTTGCTCGATTACATTAAGCGGAAAGAACATGGAAAATATAAACAAAATGTCAAGAATGGGAAGCTGCTCAGAATTAATGGAAAGATGGACGGAGATATGCTGCAAATCTGGAAGAAAACTTGGAGATGTTAAAACGGGACGGGGGTTCAGCTTTAATAAATATACAGCTAGTCCCAATCGATCAGTCTCACTGATTTTAGATTAGATGCAACTTTATTGTCATTACACATGTACAGAGCAATGAAATGCAGTTTACTATCCAACCAGAAATGTTTTTTGCAGTATGTTAATCCAGTATGTTAATTGCCTACCTAGGCAAGGTAGAAGAAATAGGCAGAAGACTACAACTACAACTACAACCAAAATAAACCGAATAGTGCATAACTGTGAGTTATTTTGCAAAGACGACTGTTTAAAAATTCAATCCCTAGATGAGGAAAGCCAGTAGACCCATACCGAGATGTTTCAGATTATTTCAAAAAGCCTTCTGAGATTTTATGAACAAAAACACCAACAGGCAGACAAGAAAAGTGAACATATTGGGGGTCTGAAACTTAATGAGACAAACAGAAATGTTTTTGGGTTTCTTTTTCAAATTTGAAATTGAATTACCATACACAGAAATTGAACTGAGGTAAGAAAAAAAAACGTTTTGACTTAGATTTCTGATCAGCAATATTGCAATAGTCATGTCAGCTAAATACTGGGCTTTGAGAAATTCATGATTGTTTCACCGTAGCTTCCTACACTGTTGCAGACACTCTTTGGTCTCTCTGACCAAAATGCAATACTTGGTTTGCGTGTGCAGAGTTGTGCCATACAGGTCTGACCACTCTGCATAAGGGCAACAAGAGGAGCTTGGCTAATATTTACACTGTCAACAACTCAGCACCAGGCACCATCCAGACAGAGAATGCTCAAAAAGAAGAGGTGGGGAAACATGTTTGGATTTCAGGTGTGGGGAAGCAATTAAAATACTTTACAAATCAAAATGACTCAGATCAAAAGACAGACGTAAAGGTTAGAGATTACTTATATTTAGCAGGATTTAAGAAACAAATTCCAATTCAATATTTTATTTGTTTTTTCGTTCTTGTTTTACTTGGTAAAGTCAGTAGGTCAAGAAAGGAGAAACTGAAAATACATTAGACTGATTTGAAAACTAAACACATCCTCTTTTTAATTAATATGTTGAAGTTCAACAAACAGTTTCTTTCAGATCATTTGAGGGCAAAAAAGTAACAGTAATAAAAACATATTTACATATTTGTACTTTACTAACAGTTTCATTTAAAATGTGAAGCAAAGGTAAGAATTGAAATAAGACAAAAATGAAAAGTATTCTCCATTTTAAAGTGCCATTAGCATCTTATATTAATAATTAGCATTAGTCTGAATGTGCTCTCCCTGAATGGCTGAAATGCTGTGACAGGACAGACTTAAACTTTTTCGCTCACTTTTCACCACAAATAGAAGAAAGGCTCTTATTTCCATACGGTATGAGCATCAGCCCCAGTCACTTCAACAGTGATCACTGCGCTGGCTGCAACGTCCCATCAAAAGCTACTTTTTATTTTAGACTGTTTTACTGTTATTATTGCTGTTGTAAATCTTGGTTTGCTTATTCTGTCAAGTTTATTCTAACAAAGTCAAGTTTATTTGAGTAGCACATTTCAGCTACATTTAAGTTCAACATGCTTACACCATAAAAACAACATACACTAGCCAATTATGAAACACGCAATAAAAATTACATTTTGTCAAATGCCACCATCAAAATCATCAAGCAAATATTTATCAAATATGTTGATCGATTTTCCAGTTATGAATCAAAGGCAACTCTAAACAGGTGTGTTTTAGCCTTGATTTAAAGGAACTCAGTGTTTCAGACGTTTTCTGGAAGTTTGTTCCAGATTTGTGGGGCATAGAGCTGAATGCTGCTTCATGTTTGGTTCTGGGGTTGCAAAGCAGATCAGAACCAGAAGACCAAAGTGTCTGGAAGGTTGACACATCCACAGATAGTTAATGCATATTGGTGCCAAGCCGTTCAGTGATTTATAATCTAACAGATCCCTGTAGATATTCCCTGAGCTGTGGGGAGTCAGTGCGACAGCTTTAAAGCTGATGATGTGCTCCATTTCCCAAGTTCTAGTGAGAACGGAAGCAGCAGCATTCTGGATCAGCTGCAGTTGTCTGACTTTTTAGGCAAATCTGTAAACAAAAAAATGATTTACCTGAAGAAGATGAGTAGTTTTTTTTAAAACCACGCTAATACTTTGACATAAAAGAAAAAGAAACAAAGAAATTAACTGGTTTGACAAGAGTGCACCTGCCTAATCAACAAGTCCAGTATTCATTGCAATAATTTAAATAATTTATACATTTCCAGACTTAATTATAAACTGTCTAATTTAAAAGAGAGTGAAAGACAAATGTCTTGGCACATAACTCTCTTTTTAAGCTTTAAGACCATTTTTAAACCTTTTTTCTGAGTAAAATGACTTTATACAAGTCAACTCCCTGACACTGCTGAACGTTAAAGTGACTTAAGGATTTTTTGTTTGTTTGTTTTAAATGTCTTTGTCATTTTTGTTCACAAGTGTCAATATTAATAGAAGGATAAACAATGTCACAGAATTTCAACCTTTAATTTTTGATCAGGAAATACTGTTAACATACATATTTCTATTTGATATTATGCATTTTAAGCGATGATCAAACATCTCTCCTTGGTTATCGAAAGTTGAGAATTTCTAAAGGCACTAATTAGTTGAGAATGTATTTCACTTTGTGTCATTAAACCCTTAATACATACAGGTATGTATATTTCGGACTACTTTCAAGCATCGTCTCAGAAAAACATGCTCTTTGTCCCACGTATCGCTTGTATGAACCCTGGTGATGCATGCCACGTTACATAATTTGATATTTAAAGAACAAACGTAAAATGGTTACTGTGACGTTTCATGTAAAATTTACAGAATGAAGACACCTTTTCAGCTCTGAATTACGAAACAAGGAGGACAATAGATCCACCTGAACACAGAAAATAAAGCTTCGCTCCCTGAAGGTTCAGATGCTGCACGCAAACCTTTCATCTCCTCAGCGAGTGCAGACAAGTGCAACAACAGGTGTGTGAAATCCCTTACCATGGTTTAAAATATATAGAAAGCTTCTCTTTACCATTTTTGCACGTCTCGTTCAGGTGAAACTCTCGCATCGTGCTTTTGTCCAGGTGAAAATGATCAAGAGAAACACTGCAGAACGGGAAGTCCGTCTTCACCTTTGTCCAACAGAATTAAATCACCTTTTTAAAATAGTCTATATAAAATTCATATAAAAATATATTTAGGAAGCGGTCAGCACTTCAGTCCATGGAACGAACGCCACTTCTGGCCGAAAGTCCGTTGCTGTTTTCTCCGGAATCAGCCGCGGCCCAACGGGAACTCAGGTGACCACGCCCCGAGCGGTGAGCTCCTGCGCCAGGGCCGGCCCAAAGTTGCTTGAGGTCCTGAGAAGAATTTCATTTGGGGGGCCTAAGTTGTTTATTTATCTGTTTGTTTTACAATTAAATAGTGAACCAACAGTTAATTACAGGTATCTGCTTCAGAATTATGGAGGACCAAAACTGACATAATAAGAAATAAAAGCATAAATATATATTTAGTTTTTCCTTGTCCTTGCATATGAGTTTCCATCAACAAATGTATATATTTTCTTTTTCATTTCCCCTAAACATGCGTTTTGGTCAAGAAAAGTAAATATTTTGTTTTGTCTTTTCCTTATACAAGCCCTCGTTCTTTTGCCATTGCTTCTTCTCCTCTCCTGTTTTTACTTTTCCATCTTTATGTTAATGAGGAGATCTGCCTTCCAGCTCCTCTACTATTGGCCAATAGAGCTTTGGAACCAACGTCACTGCGTCAGACGTTGTGGGGCGTTTAGGTCTCGTGCAGTCGCTGGGTGCCATCTTTACAGGCTACAGATCAAAACAAACTTTATCCTGGTGGTTTTATTGTGTTACTGACTGCAGTGAAGTTAGTTTCGAGTTGGATATAGGATATTCCAATATCTGCCGAGTAAGCAGCGTTTAGCTCAAGGTTGATCCGATTTATGAACGCTAATTTCGGCCAGCCGTTCTCCAGCTCCCTCAGCGCTCTGAGGTTCACTTAGAGACTGTCAACAAACTTCTGAACCAAACACTCCTGTCAAACAAATGTTAATAAATGCCTTGTGACCACCTGGCACAAAAAAGTGGTAATTCATGCTTTTACATGAGACACACTCAAATCATATTCAATATTTTAAATAACTTTAATATTAAAAATATAACTTTTTCTTCAATAGCTTCTATATTGTGTGACACACTGACTAGAAGTCAGTGTGTAATTGTTGTACTAAACTGTATATATGAGTTCAACATGTTTACACCATGTATTTTAACTAAATTTTTATTTTTGTTACCTTTTTGTTTTAGTTTAAATTAATATTTCTCTTCAATAGCTTCTAGGTCATGTGACCTATTGAGTCAAAATCAGTGTGAAATTGTTCTACCAGTCTGTACAGATGAGGTAAGGTGGGCCCACAAATTTATACATTGGATATAAACTGGGTGTCCTGTATTAACAGGACACATAAATCAGTGATTCTTGACAATAGGGACAAAACATTTAATTTTCCCAATTTTTTTTTTATTATTTCTCAACCTTATGTATGCAAATATGACAAATAATC